CAGAACTCCGAAGTTAAGCGTGCTTGGGCGAGAGTAGTACTAGGATGGGTGACCCCCTGGGAAGTCCTCGTGTTGCACCCCTTTTCTCCTTTTGTACAGTTTTTTTTTTTTTTTTTTCCCCTCCCCCCCCCTGAAACATTTTTTTTCCCCCCCCCCCCCCCCCCGCCCCCGGGGCGGGCTTTATCCTCCTATTTTTCTGTTTCTTTCCCCTTTCTTCCCTCTCTCGTATTTCCCTTTCTATTATTATACAGTTGAGATTGATTGTTACATGGTACCGCATCATTATTGTTTTTAAATCTTTGGATCTAAAGAAAAATGTCACTTCACTCGTTTCTGTAGTTTTATGAGTTCTGCGTTTTAAGTAACTTTGTCAATCCTGTGATTTTCTCTGTGTTTAACTTACACAAAAATACAGCATGCTATTAGTTGATCTCATCAGTTACTGCTTTCATCTAATTTTGATAGGTAATTATTAATTTTTTAAATTTATGATATGAGCTTTATACTCATTAATATCTCTACCAGGACTTCTCGGCAGAGAATAACAATCAAGAGATGCTAAATCTACATAGACAACTACAACTTCTTACTGAGGAAAGAGATGAACTCAAGGCCAGTCCATTTTTATAATAACTTGTGTGATTCATAGCCAAGAGGCTTAATCCAATGCGGCCCATTGAAAGTTCAGCTTTATATTTGCCTTTATCTTATGCGTTTAACATATAATTTTCAGATGAACCATACTGAACAAGTGACGTTAAACAACCAGCTAACTAAAGAAATATCCGAACTCCAGCAAGAGGCATTGCTAATTCAAGAAGTTCCTCGGGCCCTGTTTGAGTCCGTGACAAATTGCAAGGATGTTTACAAGGATATCTTTTCAGTTTTACAGGTGACTACCAAATAAATCTATTTTTGAAAAATTAGCTGTTGGGAAAAGTTTGCTGAAACGGTGGATGCTCTCCTTGCCATCTTTCTACGAGCAGGATTTTGTAGCTGATGAGAGATCTGCAACTGCTGAAATACTTTCTACAACAACTGAGATAGGTTTAAGTTTTTTTTCAACTCTGGAAGCTCATTTTTTGATGGCTATGGATGGCCAGAGATCCCATGTAAAAAATTATTCAATACAAGAACAATGCACTATGCTTCGGAAGAGGTTGAATAGCACGATTTCATCTTTGATATTATCAGATTCACCAAATATCAAGGATGAACGTTTGAAGGATTTTCCAAATAGCAGCAAACATAAGGTAGCTGCCTGGTTGCAAGTATCGAGATCTTGCGTGTCAATTTTGTTGTTTTTCTTCATCCTAATAATTGGATACTATATGTCCTTAAGACTCACTTTTTAATGTGATAAGGGCACTTTGGGAGAAGAAATTGCTTCTTGGAAAAGGAAACTGGAAGATGAAGTCAAAACAATTAAACAGAAGTACCAAAATTTAGAGTCAGAGTTGGTGGTCAATAACAAAATTCTTGAGGTTTCTGAGAATAAATATCATAGCTTGGAAAGGGAGTTCAATCTTTTGAAAGCAGAGAGAGACGACCTTCTCGAAAGAGTGTCCAATTCATCGCAAATGCTTGCACAGTTTAGGGATCAGAAGGAAAATTTTCTACAGGATTTGAATGCTGAAGTACAGAGGAGGAAGAAACTCGAAGAAGAAATCAAACAATTCAGTGTTGCTTTTGCATCTCGGCAGAGGTCGATTATGTCTTTCCAAAGCGACTTCAAATCTGTGCTTGAGAACTTGAAGGCACAGAATCCAGTTTCAGCATCCAAATCTCTTGGATCTTGATGATGAGAATTGTTGTTGCCACTAGTGAATGATTCTTCACCTGTCCTTGCAAACTAGTCATTCGATACTTGTATTATTATTCAGATCAATTATAATTTACCTGTCCTAACATTTTGACTTTACTTTTCTAGGACGTTGATCATGTACTGTCTTAAGATTTCTTTTGTAGTTGATGCGCGAGGGTTGTGCCGAGAATTGGATTTTAAATTCAGTTCCAAATATTATGAATTTATTCAATGGAGTTGAAATTATCTTTCAACCACTCCGGCTAATGGAGTGTGGTATTTGTTCCATAGGCTATTCCTTTTAAAGGGTGTTGGGAGTGTTTCATTGTTTATCTTCATGAAAATTAAAAAGAAAAAAAAATGCTCGTAGTATAATATTTATAAGTAATTATGATAAAATTACATTATTAGTTCCAATCTATTGTCTCAATGGCAAGTTGGTCATTAATATTTAAGATGAAACAAGTTTATCTCCTATTTTTTTTTTTTTTATTGTCATGCAATTTGACCACAATAATGAACAATTGTGCAAACTTTTTATAAAATTATCATATGATTGTAGTGGTTTCAATGGGTTGAATTGAACTGGCTTAACCTTATTAGCCACGAGCTCGACTTGTTTGTCAAGGGCCAAGAGCTTGCAAGTTTGAGTTTTATTATTATTATTTTTTGTAAAGTTACCAAACGATGTTTGGTTACTTTGTTGACGAGCTCGTGAATTTTAAGTTTGTAAATCGTGCCCATCAGCCGCTCATGAGTTCAAAAAGTCAAGCCTTGCTCGGCTCACTACACTAGTCCCCCACTCAGCTCGTGCTCGTCCTGACACTAGTCGAGCTATCGATAGCCAAGTTTTGACGAGCTATTGACTTTTTTATCACCTCTACATGGTCATCTTAGAAATGTACGCCATATTAAATTTTGAGGACCAACTTCAATTAAAAAGAATTATAATTTTGGATGTTTGAAAGTGATTGACTTAACTAAGATTTGGACAATTTCCATGATTGGAGATTGACTTGCAATTATATTGAAAGATTGATGACCGAATTGCTCCTTTTTCAAAGTTTGGGACAATAGATTAGAGGTCAATGGTAGTTGTCCCCAAAACTTTTGAGCCCTAGTCATTTCCCGCAAGTTTGACTTCGAAATTCGAATATCCCCAATCCAAAACCCTAGCAAATCGAATTTAGTTCCACTCTAGATTTTTTTTTAGTTTCTTTTTTCAATTATGCTAGTTATCAACATTTCCTTTAAGCAATAGGCGTCGACGAGTGGCGAATTGGAGGAGATGAGGCTATTTGTTAGGGTTATATCATGGGAGACAACTGATGAAGTTCTGAACCAACACTTTAGCAAGTATGGAACGGTGGTTGGGTCTGAGATTGTAAAGGACCGAAACAGTGGCCATCCTAGATGCTTTGCTTTTGTCTCATTTTCTCAATCCTCTTCTGTTAATCATGCCCTTACATCACATTCTTGGAAGAACGGTTTTGTTTCTTAATGAATTACTTTTATCATTTTTGGGTTCTTTATTTTTTTTTTCCTCTTCTTTTGGGTGTGCTTTCGTGTCTAATAAGACTCCATGTTTTGGTTTTTGAGCTTTCTTGACATGGGTTTTACTTTTTATGCTAAACAAAGTGGTTAGAATTTTGAATTTTTAGGTCTTTTATCTTTGTTGGTATATGTGAGTTTTATACTATTTTGCTTATGGCAGTAATTTCAAGTTTTATTTTTAAGAATGTTGGATGTTGCAGCTTTTTCTTGTTTTATAATGGTTAAAATTTTGAGTATTGGGGCTTTTGAGATTGTGAACTTTCTTATTTTAATATTATTTTTGCAATTTCTGATTTCGAATTCTTGTATTTTTGTATATATATTTTTTTCCCTTTGTGGGTATTCTTTTTTCTTGGCAGTAAAGATCAAAATAAAATTCTAGTGTATGAGTTCTTATATGTCTTACTTTTCGAAAGTGTACATCAATGATTTTTATTTTTTTCTAAAGATGAAAAATATTTATAACTGTACAAATACTTCTTATGTTTTTATTTTCAAGATTTTTTGGGTCCATTTTAACGATTATTTTAACTGAAAATTTTCTTACCTTCTGTGAGATAATGTGGTAATGTAACAAAGAGAATAATGGTGGATCTTTCTTGTGTTATTTGATATGTAACTTGGTAGTTTATTTTTATTCTTATTATGAAGAACATTTGTTTGATGTGAATCAAGGATTTCTTTGCTAAATTCCTTCTGCCGTGTTTTTTAATAGGTAGAGGTGAAAAAAATCCATCCCATGGATTGAACAACAACAACGTAGACAGCAGCATGATAGGTGTGGAGTAGGAATAGTAGGATCAACAATCTTGGTAATCCAAAGAAAATTTTTGTAGGAGGTTTGTCAGCTGACTTAACTGAGGAAGAAATTTGGAGTTTTTTTGAGAAGTTTGGTAGGACTACAGACGTAGTTGTGATGTAAGATAATGTGACCCATAACCCGAGGGGTTTTCGATTTATTACTTCTGATTCAGCGGATTGTATTGAGAAGGTTATCCAAAAAAGTTTCATGAGTTGAGTGGAAAGCTTGTGGAGGTTAAGAGGGCTATACCTAAAGAAGGAATAAGCAGTAGCAGCAATGGTTATGGAAAGCTAGGTGGTGGACAAGGGTTCAACTATTATCAACAAAGGAGTTTCCTGCCTTACAATGACACGTTTGGGTATCTTCTCTCTGAATATGGTAGTTTTGCTGGTTACCCACATGGAGCTGGAAGTTTTGGTGGTGGATATGGTGAAATTGGTTATGACCTCACCCCTGGAGCACCTATGAGTCCTTGGAGAAGACCTGAAATGGTTGGTGTTAAGAGAAGTTTCTTGCTTTATGGCAATGCTGCTCCGGGCTATCTCACATACTTTAATGGTGGAGCTGGAGTGATGGGTATGGCTGCAAATGGATTTATCTTTCATCTTGCCCTCGTTGTGAGAGTACCTCTTTCTCTCTATTTAGATGTAGCCTCTGTATCCAGATCATTCCTTTAATTCTGTTCCACGTCTTTTATCTTCAATCTCTTTCTTATGGTAGTTTTGCTGGTTACCCACATGGAGCTGGAAGTTTTGGTGGTGGATATGGTGAAATTGGTTATGACCTCACCCCTGGAGCACCTATGAGTCCTTGGAGAAGACCTGAAATGGTTGGTGTTAAGAGAAGTTTCTTGCTTTATGGCAATGCTGCTCCGGGCTATCTCACATACTTTAATGGTGGAGCTGGAGTGATGGGTATGGCTGCAAATGGATATTATGGGATCTTGTGGACTGGATTCGATGCATAATCGATGCAAGCTTACTAGTGGACAGGCCCATCTCTTGCCCACAGTAGATAGGATAAAAATTTTACACTGCTAACATGGTAAGAAAAACTTACTTGTGATTATCTCAACTTCAGAGAACCATTTTCTTGCCACGTCAATAGAGGGAAGCTTTTATCGTGTCTTCTTTTGGTAAGAGATCAATTTCATACTAATGGATATTGTCATTGGACCGCAAGGTCGAGACTTGAGACTTGGCATGACACAAAGCGGAACATGAGGTAGACCTATGGCCAATAAGGACTAAGTTTCGGCGGTACATGACAATGAGGGCGTCGCCAAATTTGCTGGGAAAGTGACTTACATCCCCCACAGTTGTAGTAGATACATCCAGGTTGCAGCTAGGGAATTCAGGTAGCGCAAGCAATGCGCTACGGCTAGATGGAAGTGTTTGCAGCAGAGGATGCAAATAAGGAAAATACAAGCACTGCAGCAAGGGGACGCAGGCAAGACCAAGACAGGCACTACAGCAGGGGGACGCAGGCAGGTAAAACTCAAGCAGACTGCAAGCATTGCAGCAGAGGATGCAACAACAACACGGCAGACTACGGCAGGGGATGCAAC